GAGAACAGAAAGATTACATGATGTAATGGTCAGAGAAATCACGTGGAAATGTTATCTGAGATGCATATTGAAGTGTTTAGAGAGAGAAAGAGGAAGGAGAAAGATATTTCTAGAGGAGAAAATAATCACAAGCAAAAATTCCCAGGTAGAAAAGAACATGAGTAACTCAAAGAATAATGAGAAGAAGTATAAAAATGAATTCTAAGAAAAGAAGTTAGAAAAGTCTGTGAATCCACCATACAGAACCTTGGAACCTTAAGCACAGAAGTATAAAATTGATCTTGTAAGCAATCTAGAACCAGTGAATAATTTTGAGCAAAGGAGCAGCATGACCAAGTGGTGGGTGAGAAAGAATCATCTAGCAATGGTACTCACCAGAAGCAATATGGAAATAAAAATTTTCTGGTGGCTACCATCTGCCAGACTCTGGGCTAGATACTTCACTTATAATATATATCTTCACAACAATCCTATAAGGTAATCATCATCTTTTCCCCTTACAGACTAGGAAATAATGGTGTAGGGAAATCCTTAAAACCTAAATATTGATACTGTCAAACAGGTAACTTAAATATGCAACATGGTCTAGTTGAGACAATAGGGGGGAATGTAATATGGTTTTTTATACTGCTGGTGGGAATGTAATATGGTTCAGCTGCTGTGGAAAAATCTGGTGGTTTTACAAAAAGTTAAACCAAGAATTTACCAAATGACTCCATAATTATACTCCTAGGTGTATACCCCTCAAAGTTACAAATGGTTACTCAAACAAGTACATATATATATGCATGTTCAAAGCTACACTGTTCACAATAGCCAAAAGGTGGAAAAAACCCCAAATTTCCATCAATAGATGAATGTATATATACTATATATATACATATATACATAATGTGTATATATATTATGTATTATTATGTATATATATTATGTATTATTATGTATATATTAATATATTATGTATATATTATATATATAATACAAATGTATTATGTGGAATGTATTATGTGGAATATTATTCAGCCATAAAAAGGAATAAAATACTGACACAGGCTACAACATGGCTATACCTCCAAAACATGCTAAATGCAAGAGGCTAGACACACAAGGTCACACACTGTATGATTCCATTTACATGAAATATGCAGAATAGATAAATCCATAGAGATAGAGGGCAGGTTGATGGTTGCGGTTGCCAGGAGCTGAGGGTAAGGTGAGGGGAGAGAAATTGCCTAATAGGTAATAGGTTTTACTTTGGAAATGTTTTTAAACTAGATAGAGGTGGTGGTTATATAGCTTTGTGGATGTATTTAATGCCACTGAATTGTCACTTTAAACAGTTATGTTTTATTTTGTCTTATGTGAATTTCACCTCAATAAATTACTTCTAAAAAGTAAAGAACTACAGTAAACTAGAAAATATACACATCTGCCATATTCCATTTAAAAAAACAAAAACGTTTTGGCTAAACAATAAACATCACACTACTGAAGGTCACAGAATGAGTGAGCAGTGGAAGCAGGTTTAGAACCCTTCCACTATTCACCACCCTCTCTCTGGAGAAGAGACAGAATTGAAGCAAAAGACCAACTAGGAGGTAATGGATTAACCTTTGGGTGGACTGTTTGGTGTCCAGACTAAGGAGTTGGCAGTGGGAAAGATAATAGAGGGATAACTATAAAAAATATTTCAAAATAAGTCATTCAATTCTAGGTGAATGACTGCCTATAAAGAAGTCAAAGATAAACATTTCAAGGTTTTGAATCTTAATGAATGTGAGAATGGTAAAAGTATTTTTTAAATGAAAAGAAAGAAGTCATGGCCAAGAGGATTTTTAATTGGATTTACTCAATATCATAAAGTAAATCATTATCTGAAGTTATATTGATAACTTAAAGATTCAGTCTTACAAATTTATATAGTTTTACAAGCTTGAGTCCTCCAGCATTTGGAAAAAACAAAACATCTTAGACATAACCTTAACTTCACATCACCTTCAAATTAAAAGTTAAACAAGAGACATGAAACTTCATTTCAATTGCATTTTGGCAATGAACATGAAAAAAGATTCTATCTAAATCTGAAGATTTAGCATAGCAAAATATAAAAATGTTAACAGTTTAGTATATACAAAATATGATCATAACAAATACAATAAAATCTCTGACTTCAAATTCAAGGTACATGGTTACATTTTGCTTAATGTATTTTACTCATACATATGTCTTTCAAAATCATACCGCTAGTAATTATTGCCAAATGTTATTAAATATATTTTAATTCCAAACCAAGGCCATGATTAACATTCACTAATAAATCAATAACAATGCAATGGTAATATATAAAACTTTCTTCTGGGACCCACAATTAGAGTAAAAGACTAAGTCTAGTCAGCAAGATTTCTACATATGAACCCTATCTACCAGATTATGGTAACTATAAGGCTGAAATAAATCCTGGCTCAAGAATCTAGCATACAGCCTTAAGTTCTTCCCTGTACCCAATTTTAAGGCCCCAAAGTTGAGGGTGTTTTCCCTGGGAACTCAAGTAAACTCCAACGAGACAGAATGGGAACTACCAGGCCTTCCTATCCAGCCACCTCAATCTTAGGACCAGGCTAGACTTTATCCATGAGCCTTACCAGACTGAGCTCAAGTTCTTATTCCCCCCTACTTTATTTTGCTTGTTTGTTTATTTTTAATAATACAATGAATACCTTGATTCATCACTGAAACAGAGATCCAGAACCTTGACAATAAGTTCTATATTTGCTTAGCGTTCCCCTATATCCATCTATCTGCTTCTCCTCTCCAAGGCCACAGGTTCTCATTAATTACAGTAATATATGTTTTTCAAAGGGGTATAATATGTTATTTCATGTTATAAAGCAAAATAGTCATAGAAATGGCATCAAAAAGCAAAATCTGGTTAAAATTGTTTCTTAACCAGTGACAATGGTTACAACACAATCCTTTTGTAAAACAATTTAGCAAGAATGTATAAAAAGCCACTCTACATATTAACACCCTCTAATCTCATAAACTCATTTCTATAGTAATCAATTCCAAGAAAATAAGCTAAACTATGGAAAACACTATTTGTAACAGGAGGTGCATAACAGTATTATGGGTAAGAGGGAAAAGCTAGAGACAATGTAAATGTTCAATAAGAAGAAAATGATTAAATAAATAATCCTATATCTAGCTAAGGTCTGTCCTTTGCTTATGGGGGGCAATGTTAAGTTTTTTAATTTGAAAATTGTCATAATATTTTGAATGTTTGTCAAATTCACAGAACCTCCCTATTTATCCTTAATAGAATTTAGAATGTTAAATTAAAAAATGAGGAGTGACAGCTGGGACCAATATAAGCAAGTTATACACTGAGGTCCGCACTGTCAGATCTGTTTTATAATATGCTTTTTGTGACCACCTAGAGGGGTGGGATAGGGAGGGTGGGAGGGAGACGCAAGAGGGCGGAGATATGGGGATATATGTATATGTACAGCTGATTCACTTTGTTATAAAGCATAAACTAACACACCATTGTAAAGCAATTATACTCCATAAAGATGTTAAAAAAATTTTTTTAAGGTAAAGAAAACTGTATAAAACTATGAAATACAATTCTTTATAGTTGCATTAACAGAAACAAATATTTTCTGGACTAAGCACCATAAATATTTTCCTTTAAAGCAAGAGTTTGTCAGTACTCAAGTAATGAACCTGGAAATATTTCTTCTAAGCAAAATGCCATTAAAGAATGAATATATATTATATAAATAACAGAGAATCGTATTAACTAGCTTTATCCTATAGTATATTTATTGGAGACTCAAAATTTGAAAAACCTAATAGTAAGCAAAATTTTAGTACATCATGTTTTCTATGTAATTAAAGATAAAATGAGTAAGATCAATACATAAAGATAAGTGACTTTTAAAGTAATATGAAATGGTACAGAGATTCACAGTCAACATATTAATTTTTATATGGTAAGTTACTTCAATTAGTGATTTATGAAGCTAGTATATCATTTATACTGGTGTTCCCAATCTTTAGACTGTAGACACATTGGGTAGGAATAAAAGGAGCTAATACAAGAAATCCTTGAATTAATATGCATACATGTATTTTTGCAATGAATATTAAAATATAACTACTATCATTTGGTAGTCTGAAATTACTTTTGATGTCAAAATAGAATTCTCATTTTCCAGTTGGAAATTATGAACTCTTTACAGATCCTTAAAAAGTAAATAATTTTAAGAAACATGTACTCCTTTGGTAATATTATTCTAACCCTACCTCATGCTTGATCTTGATAACTTATTATTTGACTGTAATATATATTTTTAAAAACCACATTAAGATTCAGAGTAAAATATCAGTACTTGGAAAAGGTAACATGGATCTCTTATATTTTTAAAAAGTAAAGTATTTAATGTGTACATGAATCTGGGTATTATAATCTAAAATCAAAGAAAGAATTATTGTACAATTGAGATATTAAAACATACAGATTTTTAAGATTAGATGGTATCCAGACGAATAGTCCAATGAGTTAGTCTAATGTAACTGGAAGAATTATTAAACATTTATCTCATTTCCTTTAGAGCAAAACCTTGATCTAAAAATCACACCTTATATAAATATTAAATCAAAATGATCACAGCCTCAAATATAAAATGTAGAAGTATAAAATTCTTCTTAAACATGCCACTAAAAGCACAGTCCGTAAAAGACAAAAATCAATAAACTGGACTTCATCAAAATTAAAACTAAAATCGAAGCCAGTTTTATAAATAAGAAGGTAAAGAATGACCTTTTAACATCACACTATAGCAATAAATATTTGAGGTAAAATATGGCCATACAAAGATCTCACAAATTTGTGAGGCTATATGAAAATAGGTGTTTTGCTCTTTGACCCATCTGTAAGCATGCTAGGATTTATTTCACATATTTTCATTTAAATAAAGTTAATTATTAACACTTACCAGCAGCTTCAAGAACCAGTTGTAGTCTTGCTTTGGCCTGTTCAGCTGGTGGCTAAAAATCAACCATAAAAGACACTTACAAGGTAGTTTTAACAGAGCTTTAAATTAATGCATTATTACGTTGAGTATCAGAAAATTTAGAGAACTTTGTCATAATCAGTATTAATATCCACCCACATCTTAACAAAATTCCATCACAGCAGCTCTACCAATCTACTCTCTCACCCTAGTAATCAAATCACACTTTTCATTATTATGATTCAAGAATGAAGTTCTTCCTTTTTCTTTTTTTTTTTTTTTACTGGAATAGCTTTTATTTGTTATCCAACATGTACCAGTCAGCAACAGCCTAAATACATATAATTTAATAAGGAGGCAAAACCCACACATTTAACAACATACTCTCAAGCTGTGTTGTTTCTTTGCATATGGAAACATGCAAAATGACCTATTAGAAGTTAAATAGCAACTTAAAGTCCAATATCTCAGGCAAATTATATCCTAAAACCAAATATTTTCTGCTTTCCTTACGGTATTTGAAAGGAGCAATTGTGATAAAGATAGGACACAACGTGAGTTACTGCTTTCAATTCCTACTAACTGTCCTAAAATTAGTCTCTCAATGAACTTTGATTCAATACAGTTGATAATGTTGAAACTACTTTCCTACCAGTGACCTTATTCTGAGATTTTTGGATATGTTGATGGTATCCAAACAATAAGATGGATTGTATCAAGGTTATGATCTTTATGAAAGACTTGTTAAAAACTGTTTTTAATACTTAAGACTTTACATTTCTTAAGATGTCAGTAAGTGACTAAATAATCTCATGTTTATATACGATACCATCATTTGAGAATTAACATTTTACAAGATATATTTGAATGTTTTGCTATTTGTGAAAAAACAGCCTGAATGAAAAGAATTACATAATTGGATATGGAAAGAAGATGTTGTGCTCAGAAAAGTTTAAGAATTTGAATGGTACTTCTGAATAAACTGTAAGAAACAGGATAGGAGAGTGGTAGATGAGACAGGAAAGAAGACAGGGCTAGCCTTTTATATCATAGAAGAGGGATTAACAAACTATGACCTAAACCTGGTTTTGTAAATAAGTTTTATGGGAACATAGCCATGCCCATTGGTTTATATATTGTCCATGGTTGCTTTTGTGCTCAACTCAACAACAGCAGAGTCAACTATTTGCGGCAGGACTCTTATGGCCAGCAAAGTCTAAAATATTTACTATGTAGATCTTTAAGGAAAAGACTGTTGACCCCTGCCATATAAGACGGAGAGACTTGGAAGAATGTGAAACAGTGGGGTGACAAGATGAGATCTGCACTCTGACACATCATTCTAGCAATATACTTGAGGATGAACTGCAAAGAATGTGACAGAAGGCAAGGAGCTCAGTTAGGGAGCAATTAAAGAACTCCAGATGAGAGACGATGAGGGCCTGGGGAGGAGCAGTAGCAGTAAGGTTGGAGAGGAAGAACTAGATTTGAGAAACATTTAATTGGTAACATGAAAGGACTGATTGGATATGAGAGAAGGAGGAGTTGACAAACAAAAAGAATATTTTATGTCATATGTTTGTAGAAAAAATGTACGTAAGTGTGCTTTATAAAGTTATCAATATTAAAAATGTGACATCAAATTAAAATATCATAGCAAAATATCAATAGAAGACTGTGACATCTACTGAATATGATCTCTCTAACAGTTATAAAGGAAACTGCCAAGCAATTAACACGAACATTTATAATGATGAAAGGCAAATGACATTTGACATCAGTATCAGGGAGCATAGTGAGTGTGCAAAACTGCGGAGCACATGGCCCAGCTAAAGAAAGCAGCTGGTACTCAGCACCAACTCAGTGTTGTCATGCAGAAATGCAAATCAAGCGTTATAAAACTTCTTCATTTTTTTTCCTGAGACTTTAAGTCACCATAAAGACAAATACTGTGTGGAACAAACAGTACTTCTCAGAGCCAGATTCAATCCTGAAACAGACAGTCTGTGATCTCTGCCATCTACTTAACAAACACAGTAGAAACATGATATTGATACTTTGTGCAACATAGCATAACTAGAATGGCAAGAAGGAAATAATGTTCTGACTAGCAGATCTCAAGCAAGCACAGAATTATGAAGTATACATTTCAGAGTATCCTAGTAAGCAGTGACGTTTGATAGAAAAATGTGAGAAACTTTATTGGGTAAGATATTTCATGGGAAAGTTATAGGTATTTCATAAGAAACGATTATTTTTACCAAATAAGAAATATTTAAAACAAATATACAAAGTGATGAGTACCCACATTCAGTAAAATATTAACAATATTGTTAAAGTCTCTTAACCCACAAAACCTCCTCCATAGCAGCTCCCTCTCTCCCCCAGTTAAAATCTATGTCTTAAAAATATGTTGATTACCGTCCCTAAGAGTCTTAATGGTTGATGATTATGATAAAAACACCTGTTAAGACATATTTATATTTTATTAATTCCTCTAACAATCTATAATACAGGATTCATATTTCAAAGATAAAGAAAACCATGGAATAAGAGTAGTTTCCTAACTTGCCTTTACTAGTAAATGATAGGCTGAAATTAAGACCTTCTGACTCCAAATTTCAGGATTCTTCTAACTACATCACTAGGATATTCATGAATTCAAAGCAATTAATTTCACAGATATAAAAGCACACGGATAGATTTTTGATTCTGTTCAAAAAAAAATCTATCCAAGATAGTACATTTGCCTATACAAATATAACTTCCTAAATTATTTGCGAAATATAAGGATCAATTCCAACTATGGGGACAAACACATTGTTAGATTTGCCAGACTTTTAAAAGTAATTTGTCTTTTATAAGTATTTTTACTTTTAAAAATATTTGATTCATTTCACAAGCATTTTTCTTGGATAGGGTATTCAGATACACATGTTCTCTCACTTTTTTCCCACCTGCAAATATCTTTCTTTCGCCACAACTGGTGAATAATTTGAATGGATATGGGATTCTCGGTTGCAGTCTTTTTCTCTCAGTCATTTGCCCTTCAAATTCTTTCCAAGTGCTCCTCCACAATATTTCAGCCTTGAGTTTGTCCCAGAGAGGGAAAGCATCACAACAGGTCACTTGGCTGAAACCCTCCAGGTCCCACCTACCTATCTGCATCAGTAGCTGCTTGACCCAGAAAAAGTAGATAAGCTGGAGCTGGAAATGGAGAGGAGGCAGCCTGATTTATGTTGCCATCATTCTGATTGCCAGTTATAGTTACTTTTTAAGAAAAGATTAAGAAGAAAGAAGAAACAGAATACACAGTTAAAAGAACATTTTTCTACTAATCCATTTTTAGTTAGGTATCATCATACTAAGCTGACTTAGATTGAAAAAACCTTTGGGGCTTGACTGCCAACAGATTGAAAAAACCTTTGGGGCTTGAGTGCCAAAATTTCTAATGCTTTAACTATTTTAGAGTGTATTAGACTCCAGGGATTGGTATGAATTCCATCTAAAACTGGTAAATGGTACTAATGTTATTCAGAGCCAGAAAAAAAAATACTTTATGAAATAAATAAGAAGCTAGCATCAAATACAAATGCATGGAATACAGCAATTTCTCAAAATAAGAACTGATAAATGAGGACATATTTAAGAACACAATGTCACAATTATATTGTATGAAGCAAACTTATGGAGAAAAAATTGTATTCTATTAAAAAATAATATTCCTATGGGAAAAAAATCTGTAAAAAATACAAATACATGGAGGCTAAATAATACACTACTAAATAACCAAGAGATCACTGAAGAAAACAAAGAGGAAATCAAAAAATACCTAGAAAAAAGTGACAATGAAAACATGATGACACAAAACCTACGGGATGCAGCGAAAGCAGTTCTAAGAGGGAAATTTATAGCAATACAATCCTACCTCAAGAAACAAAAAAAATCTCAAATAAACAACCTAACCTTACACCTAAAGTGATTAGAGAAAGAAGAACAAAAAAACCCCAAAGTTAGCAGAAGGAAAGAAATCATAAAGATCAGATCAGAAATAAATGAAAAACAAATAAAGGAAACGAGCAAATATCAATAAAACTACAAGCTGGTTCTTTGAGAAGATAAACAAAATTGATAAACCATTAGCCAGACTCATCAAGAAAAAAAGGGAGAAGATTCAAATCAACAGAATTAGAAATGAAAAAGGAGAAGTAACGACTGACACTGCAGAAATACAAAGGATCATGAGAGATTACTACAAGCAACCATACGCCAATAAAATGAACAACATGGAAGAAATGGACAAATTCTTAGAAGAGCACAACCTTCTGAGACTGAACCAGGAAGAAACAGAAAATATAAACAGACCAATCACAAGCACTGAAATTGAGACTGTGATTAAAAATCTTCCAACAGGGCTTCCCTGGTGGCGCAGTGGTTGAGAGTCTGCCTGCCGATGCAGGGGACACAGGTTCGTGCCCCGGTCTGGGAAGATCCCACATGCCATGGAGCAGCTGGGCACGTGAGCCATGGCCGCTGAGCCTGCGCGTCCGGAGCCTGTGCTCCGCAACGGGAGAGGCCACAACAGTGAGAGGTCTGCGTACCGCAAAAAAAAAAAAAAAAAAATCCAAGAAACAAAAGCCCAGGACCAGATGTCTGCACAGGTGAATTCTATCAAACATTTAGAGAAGAGCTAACACCTATCCTTCTCAAAGTCTTCCAAAATATAGCAGAAGGAGGAACACTCCCAAACTCATTCTATGAGGCCACCATCACCCTGATACCAAAACCAGACAAAGATGTTACAAAAAAAGGCCAATATCGCTGATGAACAAAGAATCAAAAATCATGAACAAAATACTAGCAAACAGAATCCAACAGCACATTGAAAGTATCTACACCATGATCAAGTGGGGTTTATCCCAGGAATGCAATGATTCTTCAATATACGCAAATCAATCAATGTGATACACCATACTAACAAAGTGAAGGATAAAAACCATGTGATCATCTCAACAGATGCAGAAAAAGCTTTCA